GAAGGAAGGAAGGAAGGAAGGAAGGAAGGAAGGAAGGAAGGAAACCAAATTGTTGGTCCTGCTCTTAAAATCAGAGATACAAGCCAGCCAAAGTGAAGCACTTTTAATGACACCTCGATTAAATTCATGCTAACTCTCCTGCTAAAATTAATAGGAATTCAAAGTGCCTCACTCTGGTAGGATCCCAACTTTAGATCAAGAGTGGGCAAGAGACAGACTGGAACCTACTGGCAGATCTCTGAGTGGTTGGGAGGAGAAAGACAAGAGTTTTGTCCCAAATGTCTCATTCTAGCAACAGCTAAAGATCACCCTCCTCTCAACCAGGGCTTGCTGTGGGTATGTGAGGATTTGATTTTACTATTTGAGAACCTGTGAGCATGGTTCTGGTACTGATCACAAATTCCTGGGGTGATCATGGACCCAAACACATCCTGTTCTTAATTCTTAGCATGTGTCCGCCTGGCACTATATTGCACTTAGCCTCTGCTTGGTGCATCTCAGGTTCCTGTAAAAAAAAAAACAGCAGATGTACACTTTGCTCATACATCCATGCAACTGCAGTCCTTAGGTGAGTCTGTTAAGCCCAAAAAAACATGTAAATTCATCAAAGTCCATTATACAACCACAGCACCAAAGGAGACAGCTGAGGACAGGGGGAAACATTACTTAATTCAACTCTGTCCCAGGTCAATGTGTTGTTTTGGTCTCTCTCATTAGGAACAAGCAAGTGAGCAAAGGAAAAAGCAAAGCATACACCAGCACAATCACACAGCATGCATTTCACTTAACACCAGGGGTGAGAATTGTGCTGTCTTTCAGATGTTGTTCAACTGCAACTCCCAGCATTCCTCACCACTGGCTATACATGCTAGGGCTACTGAGAACTGCAATTCAACAACATTTGGAGGAATATATGCCTCCTACTTAACTATTCCTTTGGCACTTGCCATTAGGTATTGCTAATACTATGGGGACTACATCTTAAGAACAACTTAACATGGTTGCTATGTGAATTAGGGGCATTGCTTTTTGCTCTTGTTTGGTCAGTAGGGGTCCCTTCAGCCTGCTATAGTTCAGGGTCAGGCTTCAAGCCTCCTAGTTCCAGTTTGAACCATTAGGTATAGCTAATACTGTGGGGACTACATCTTAAGAGCAACTTAACATGGTTGCTGGGAGCTGAATAGTGATGTCAGTACATTAAGGTGATCATTTGGATGGTGAGGAGAAAAATACTGTATTTAGAAAGCAGTAGAGTATGAAAAGTGTGGTGCAGTGGTTTGAGTGTTGGACTCTGGAGATGAAGGTTCGAATTCTCACTGGGCCATGGAAACCTTCTGAGTGACTTTGGGTGAGTCACACTCTCTTAGCCTCAGAGGAAGGCAAAGACAACCCCTCTCTGAACAAATTCTGCCAAGACAACCCTGCCAACACCCCCTCCCCACCCTTACAAACAAACAGCAACACAACAAAGGGTACAAAAGTGTGTTATCCAGCCCTAAGGCTGGGATCAGTAGCTCAAACTGGAACTAAGAGGCCTGACCCTGAACTATAGCAGGCTGAAGGGACCCCTATTGACCAAGCAAGAGCAAAAAGCAATGCCCCTAATTCTTACCAGGGCTTGGAAACATTACTTTTTTCTGGACTACAACTCCCAGGATCCCCAGCGGAAGTCTCCTTCTGCTTACCCAATTGCAAAGCCAATTTGTAACAGACCTATAAAAATATTTTTGACTAAAGAGGGGTCTAAAGCCTGTCTTTATCCAGAGCATCCAGAGAAGCAGCACTTGGGTTGCTTCTTGCAAGTACAAAACTAGCACAGAAGAAAGTAGGCTGAACTAGAACATCTCATTCTCCTTATTTTTTTGGGGGAGGGGAACTATAGCTCCCAGAACCTCCAGCCACTATGATTCTGGGAGTTGTAGCCCAAAAGCTCTGCATTTCCAAATTCTGCAGTAGCTTGATTGTTTCAGTACTGGGGTGCATTAAAAATGGCACTCTCTATCTGCAGACTGAAGTGATAAAAATTGCCAGTTTTATTCTACCAGCATCTTTTTCTGCACATGAAGAAAAGGCTCACTCAGATTAGGAAACACAGAACATATGACTGTAACAGCAGCAGAGGCGGCACTGCAACTTTAACTCAGGAAACTAATACATCTGGGCAAAACTGCTTCAACAAATACCAGGTTTGCACTCGTTCATCAAAGAAATGTGTTGATATGGTTAATTGCATGGTTTGAGTGTTGGATTGTGACTCTGGAGACCAAGGTTTGATTCCCAATTCAGCCATGAAACTCACTGGATGACCTTGAACAAGTTACACTCTCTCAGCCTCATGGGAAGGCAATGGCAAGCCTCCTCTAAACAAATCTTGCCAAGAAAACCCCATGATAGGATCGCTTTGAGTTGAAAATGACTTCAAGGCACACAACAATAATAATAACAACAACAAATGGTAGATAATAGTCTTGGTTCTAGGCACTGAACAAGGTTCAAACCAATCCTTACGTCAATAACTCATAAGGTGCACAAAGTCCTACAGACAAGTCATTATCCTTCAGCCTAATTGAGTGCAGAAGGTGAATATATACAGTTGTATACTGAAAAAGGATTGTAGATTTTTAAAAAAATCATGGTGATGAAGACAAGTATTAAGAGAGGGATAAGAGACAGGGCCATTTTTACCCAAGGGGATATTTTAATGCAACAAACCTCTAATGCACTTGAAGGGCATTTTAGCACATGGTACTAAGGGCACCTTTAGGCTCCTTTCACCCTATTTGTACATGCATACGAATATTTTTAGCAACAAATTCACAGTGGAACAGAGCAAGTTTTTGAGATCAGAGGTACGTGCTAGTCAATATGAGTATTAGCACTAACACTTCTGACTGCAGAAAATGGAAAGACAAATAGTTTCATTTAGGGAAAGAGCTTAACTCCTACATTGTGTCCACTGAGAAAGGAGTTAAAGTGAAAGAAGCAGGAGTATAAGTATATACCATTTGCTTGTGTGAACACTGCCAGTATAGCGCCAGTTCCAGCCCTTGCCAAA